TAAAGAGAGAAAATTTTTAATTTATAATATATTTAATATTAGTCGAGTTGTTCACGAAAAACAAAAACAAAAGCATTACCAAAATATCATAAAACAAGTAAGGTAGTCTAAGTTCGGGTGCAACCGAATATTTTAAACTCTTGCACCTTGAAGGAATCCAAATCGGGAAATACTTTAGGGTGTAAAAAGTCAATACGAGGATCGAAATCCAAGCAATTTTATATATACTCGTACAAGTACATATACAATATACAACTCCTATACTGACAGATACATAAGGTTTGTTAGATAAACAGTACATGGCAGTTGAGATAGTATTGACCAGATTTTATCTATTTTTCTCAATATCACATACTATTAAAATGTCACTTACCAAAAAACTTACCAACTAATCATATGGAGAAAAGTTAGCCGTATGTTCGAAAATACTGGTATTAATTATATGAGGCTAAGTCAAGTKTTCACCAAAATTTTTCTAATTTAGGCTCAAAGATATACTGTTATGAGCAAAAGACGTTTTGTAAATTTCATTGGGGTAACTCACATATTCTTCGATACATCCGGTATAAARTCGGAAGTCTTTATATTAGGCATATTGGGGCTCAGGGGAGTTTTGGCCCAATCCAACCCATATTTGAAACATAGAGATACTATTGCCAGGAAACAATTATCTCTGGATTTTAATTGTATATCCCACACATTGACCGATATTACTACTCATTACTCCTATTACTAATCGATACTGGAATCCACATAGGAATTTTTTGCCGAAATCGGTCGGTCGGTCGGATCAGGAGATATGTGATATCAGCAGAAAATGAGTGGTGCCACAACCATTGTCCAGGAGATTTTTAATTAGAGGGAGTGGCACACAAGCCCCATTCTACGATGATCCCTGTTTTGTATCTTAATTTAGTCCTTAGTGATGGCACCTTACAGGTTTTCTGTTAATGGCGATTTGTGAGCGTGGCAGTGGTCGTTATTTTTTTTTGGTACGCGCATACCATGTTTCATTAAGATATCTCAATTTTCATTCAAGTTACAGCTTACGCGGATGGACGAACAGACAGACAGACAAACAGACAAACAGACAGTCACCCAGCTTTCAGCTTGGCTCGTCTTCCTGATCTTTTATATATGCATAACCCTTAAATATTCCAAAAACATAACCATAACCATAACCATAAAAATATTCTTTATGACATACCCTATTTATATCCAAAAGTATAACCGAAATGGTATTCACGTATTTTTGATATGTTATCAACTTTAATATGCACCACTTTCTTCTCGTTTACTTTTATCGTTAGTATAGCTACAATCAGCTGAGTTGAGGCGCTCTTCTAAACCAAGAAAGAGCCAAAGAGCACCAAATAAATGCATAAGAGTTTTCTGCGCTAAGAGAACTTCGCAAAAAAGGAAATACAAAATATTGAAGCTAAGACTGCGCCACGGCGAGACAAAACCCAAACAACTACACACGGCTAAAACAAGCAATTAAAGAACGAAAACAAGAAAATTATTAATAGCATAGCAACAAAAAATAGTGAGAGTGATTTTCCACATGCCACAACAACMACAACGCAGCTTAGGGTGACGCTAAGTCACAAGGTGGTCAAAGCGGTCATAGAAAATACAAGTATTTGACGGTTTGGCCATTGATACATATGTACATATATATGTGTATGTGAGTGTGTGGTGCAAAGACATGTATATGTGTATCTGTTCGCTTACATGTTTGGTGTGTAAGTGGCCGATTCAAGTGAACTTGAAGCCGCGATTTGGCTTGAGCACAAGAAGGGGCTATTAGAGCGGTCGCATTAAGACGGCTAATAAAGTAGCTGCAACAACAACAACAGCAGTAGCAACAACAACACCAATAAGTGGTGGTAAAATCACAACAACAAATATGCAATGAGCGCAAATCGATCTGTTGAGAGCACTCMATGCAGCACGAGCTCAAATTCGGCGAGTCTATGCAGCAGCAGCAGCAGCCACGGAGCAACAATAACGGCAACGGCAACAGCAACCATTGCTGAGCGCAACTTTTGCGATATTCGCCGTGCTTTATTGCAAGTGATAGCTTTACACTCGTGTTTGATTTTGGCGAGTTCGCTGTGCCAATATGCGTACGCTGGCGTTTTTGTAGTATTTTTGCTACATGTTTGTCGCTGTTGTGCGAGTTTTGCTCTGTATTTTGTTACGGTTTGGCGCTGTGGCGCTCTGCTCAGTTGTTATGAGCGCGATTGCTGCTCGCGCTGCTAGTTTGCCATTTATCGTGTACCTTTGCCTTAGCCTTTGCTGGCTGGCTGTTTTCTTCTGAGACTTGGTCTTGGTCTTGAGCTCACATTCTGCAGATTACAATGTAGCTGGTCTAACTGGCACACACTCACACACACACATACATGCATGTTAATATGGACATTTGCGCCAAGTCATTTGCTATCAGTTTTCAGTTTTAGTTTCTGTCTCAGATCATTTTAGTAATTCAGTTAAATGCGGACGCTGAAGCGATTCGGACGCAGAACTTGACTTAAACGGCAAGCATAGAAACGTTTCGCAGCGGCGACAGCAAAAGCAGTGCATGTGAGCAACAGCAACAACAACAGTGCCAGTAACTAGACTAGAAAGACGGCAGTATACGGTATAAACAACAATTGCAACAACAACAACAACGAAACATAGCTGTTCGACTGCTCCAAACGAATTAACGAATTCAGAGAATTTTGGCGTTTTTCTTGTCAATTTTCGGTGTTGAGAATTATCGTTTGTAATTTTTTCGTAACAAAAGCGATTTTTTCATGTATTTTTGGCTTACAGCAGTCTTCTTTTGCTGCTACTTGACGTGGTGACAAAACGTGTGCGTTAAGAAAAAATTATTAAAAAATTGCAAATAAAGAAAAGCAAAAGTAAAAGTCAATGCAAGCGGCGACAAACGAGTCAAACAAGCGTGGGGAACAATTTAAACAATTATATATAAATTGATAATTGCTAAACGCGCATTTGTGTGTGTGTAGCGAGTGTGTGCGAAAAAAGTTGAAAGTGCTGACAAAGTGAACACACAGCTGAAAACCGATTTAAGGACATTCTAAAGCAACAACAACAACAAAAAATTCGCGAAAGCAGTTATTTGAAAACCAAAATATTCGAGCCAGTCAGTTAGATTCAGTTTTCAGAGTGTGTGCCGCAAGCGTTTTTAATATAGGAAATTAAATAAAAAATAATTTCACAAATTTTTCAAAAAATTTAATAAATTGAAAAAAATAATAAAAATTGAAATAGATTGAAAAAATAATTTCAAACATTTTACAAAAACGGAAAAAGGTAATTTCACACATTTGAAGTAAATGAAAAATAATAATAATATGAGAAATTTTACAAAAATTTAAAATAAATTGAAAAAAATATTTCAAGAATTTTACAAAAATTTGAAATAAATCGAGTAAAATAATTTCAAAAATTTTACAAAAATTTGAAATAAATCGACAAAAATAATTTTAAGAATTTTACAAAAAAATGGAAATGAGCTGAAAAAAAATTAAAAATTTCAAGAATCTGAAAGAAACTAATTTCAAAAATTTTAAAAATCTTAAAAAGCAAGTTTCAAAAATTTAAAATAAATTCAAAAAAATAATAATTTCGCAAAATTCACAAAAATTTTAAATTAATTGAAAAAAAAATATTTCAAAAATTTTGAAAAACTAAAAAAAAAAATAACTTGGAAAATGTTTAACAAAATTTTAAATTAATTGAAACGCGCAGAAACTTGTAACAGAACAAAAACACTCAACAACATAATATAAAACAACAAAAATTCGTAAGCGTAAATGCGAAAACTTGGTCAAGTGAACGGCAAGGAATTTATGGGCAGCGCCAGCAAACATAATTAAGCACAAATAAGACACAAAAAATAAAAGTAGAAATAAATTTATAAAAAACAACACACGCAAAGCGCAAAAAGCTGCATAAATCTCAAATCAGTCAGTTAGTCAGTTAATCACTCAATCAGTCAGCAGACTCTAGCATACAGGGCAGCGATAAAAATCCACGAAATTTGTACAATACATTGCGCAAACACACTGCAGCCATATTTATGCCAAACAATTACACATTTTTAAGTGTTTTAACACCACAACAACAACAAAACCATTAGAAAATAAAACTTCAAAAACGGTATTTTTAAAAACATTTCGTTAAATATAAAATTAAAAAATAAAACACCAAAACGTAAAACAACGAAATTGTGCCAAAAATAAAAACAACAATAATTCAGCCGTAAAACGTTGGAAATTGTGTGCAAAATCGCGCAGCGCATCCGCGATACTCAGCTGCTTGGTACGCCAACAGAATATCGAACGCGACTCTAAGTGCTTTATGTGTGACACACTGCGAAATCCGCCAAATAAACAAATCACAACAAGACGTACATTGCGAAAACACACATAAAAACAACAACAAAACACTTAAGTTCGTCTTAAAAGTCGCATTGAAACATCTTCGGCTGATGGCGACTTTCCACATAAAAATTTTCTCGCCAAATAAATAAGCTAGCGACTTGGCACTAACTGCATTTTGGAAACCACAACCGCGGCGCTGAAAAAAAAAAAAAACACAAAAAAGAACAGCAACAACAAAAGTTCAGAAACAAAAAAAACAAGTACAGCAAAAAACGTTAAACCCAAAAAAAAGAAAATTAATCAGTAAAAAAAAAACAAAAAATTATACAGTAAAAAAGGAGTAAAAAACACAAACCGACCAAAAGCATCTTCTTCGGTATTTCAAATACAATAAATTTGGGATTAAMCAGCTGCATTAATCGGCTACGGCGTCGTCAACGGAAATYGCTGGTCCAATGTTGCGTCTGCATTTTGTTGGTAAGTGGTAAGTGCTTTGCTGTGCGGCCTGTTGTTGTTGGGCAAAACTGCGAAATCACAAAATTTAAATTTAAGCGTAGCCTGCTCATTGCATTTGGAGAATCACCTCGCATTCATACTTAAAATAATTTYGAACATTTCAATTCATTAAAGATTTTTGTACTGCACGCCCCAAAAGCCCCAAACCGCGATGATGYTATGATGATGCTGCAAAAGGCAACTTCAATTTCTTTGTGTTTTTATTGTTTTTGCTTATTTTATTTATTTTTACCGCAACAAGATTTATTAAATACGCTAATATCGCTTGTACCACTATAAAAAGTTTAAAAAATGACAGCGTAAATATTAGTTTGAAATTATCGATGCGACCGCTGCGTCGCGTTGCCAAGTAACCGATCGGCTACGCTCACTGCTGCCATGGGTTTGTTTGTGTTGTTTGTGGTGCTGGCRCTACAGCTGCTGGCTTATTGTTGCCACACCACTTTTGCGGCACCGTGTGTGCTAAACGAGCTATTTGTTAGCAAAAACGTTCTTTTGGTGTTGTACTGTTTTGAAATTGTAGAAACCGATATTAACTGGAATTTTCTTCTGTGTATTCGTGTACTTAATCAACAGTTAATTGGTTTTAAAAAGTCGAAATTTTTGAAGAAAAAATCCTTCAATCAGGCCCGAGTTTATTATGTATTCTAAAAGCTGTATAACTGTCATTAAAATCTACTGAGTGGTTTTCGAGTTACAGTTGTCACCAGTTCAAAAAACATAGTTTTGAGAAAAACGCGTTTAAAGTTCACACTGCAGTTTTGAAGTGCCCGAGCTCTCGTTGTTATTTGTCGAATAACTCAAAAACTAATTACCGGATCAACGTGAAATTTCCAGAGAATATTTTTGAGATATTAAACTTAACGAAAATGCAAAAAAAAAATAATTTTTTGAAAATTCTGACTACCCCTAATCCCTTAAGCAATCACTTAATTTTTTGACATCTTTATTAATAAAGAAATTTGAGCTATATTAGGAAATCTAAGAAACACCTTGAATATTGGAAAACTTATATAATATAATCTGTGATATCAACTTTTCAATTTTTTTTCAATACTTGGTGTGAGCTGAATATGCGCTTGAAAAACCGATTTAAATCGAGTTTACTTCTTATTTTAGCTGATATTAAAGAMATATACGAAGAATTAATTTTTACAAGGAAGACTAGTAAATAGTGTTTCACCATTTGTTTGGTGTTGTATTTTGGCTAATACATTAAATTATGGAAATTGTGTTTTTTTTTTATAATTGTTTCATAATATGTCATTTTAATTTCACCACGGCGACTCAAACTCCCAGCAACCTTTCAATAAATAAACTAATTTCTTAGAGTGCTTTTGTAATAACTATAYGCTTAAATCGTATTGAAGTTGCCTGTTAGTCTCTATTTTGTCTGAACTAGTTGCAGTGTAATAAAAAAAAAAAACAAGAATAATTAATAATTAATTTGAGTTTTCTACTAAATTTAATGCTAAAAAAATAATTTAATAATAATTTTTTAATATTTAAAAATATTTTTTTTTAATAAAATGTTAACAAGTGTTATAATATGTGATGAGGAAGTTACAGAAAAGAAAAAAACTTGGGTTGCGCTGAAGCTGCAACAATACAAAAATAATTTTTTTTCCCAAAAATTGCTTCCGATCATTCACTTTATATGGTAGCTATATACTATAGCGATTCGTTCTACGCAATTTCTTAGAAAATTCAATTATTGCTTTAGATAATAACCCATGCCAAATTTCGGGCAAAAATCTCCTCTGACTTAGCTTGACAGTTATGTGACACAGTGTTCGGATATCGTCGGATCAGACAAATCATCTTCTGAAAAGTAAAGAACGTGTGCAAAATTTCTGATCGAATTCTCACAACTACAAGACTTTTTCGCACACATACAGACAAAAGAATATGGATAAATSAAATCATTCCTTCTGGGTGTTACAAATTCGTGGTAAAGTTAAGATATTCTGCTAAGAGTATAATTAAAATATTTTGAACCTCATTGAAAATGAAAGATAAAATAACAAGTACGAGGACTAACCAACCCCTTGACGTATTTCCATGAGTCTGACTTGTGGTACAATTTCTGTGCCTAACATGATTATCACGAGTCTGGCTCGTGGTGCGTAGAAATGTACGTTTGATGAAAAGATAATTGAAAATTTCCCGCTATTTTCAGKTAATAATGTARACAAAAAACATGGTTGCAGTTGAGTGCATTGTATACTGTGTAATTATCCATATTTTCGTAGTATTTTATTTTTTGGAAATTTGTAAAACAAGCATGCGACAGTTCGYAAGCATCAAAACTGGTTTGTTTAGCGCAAGTTGTGTGCGAACAGTTGGGAGCGAATKTCGTTGCGCTAATTGATACGTCAAGGGGTTAATATAATTTTGGGCAATCTTAAGTCTGGAAGAGGATGTGGCGGCGGTTGAATTTTTGAGGGTTAAAATAGTCTAGCTCGATAAAATGTTAAATCTAAAAGTTGTAGCTAATAAAAATATCTAAATACGAATACCTTTTGCAAAAAGAAACCCAAAMKTTRTGAAAARAATTAGAATAAATTTTTTCTTACACARAAAAAAAGGTTATTTTTTTTTAGAAATTTCTTGTAAACTTATCATTTTATATCTAAAACACACTGTATTTTTTATCTAAAATATTTATTTTTTTCCCCTTTTTTGACCTAATGTCAGAAAATAATCCTAATTTGCAAACGAAATTTGTCACATCACTATTTTCTTTTTGATTTTTAAAGAGTCGATCAGTTTTTCTTTGTGAGATCTTCACTTTCTGATTTTATAATGAGTGGATTAGTGTAGTGTGTTTTTTCTCATTTTCTGAAAAATTTCACTATAATTTTGTATATATTCTTTACACAAACAGACAGTAGAGATTTTTAAACAGAGAAGAATCTTGTTATTATATACTTTTTCTAATTGTTTTCATTTAACTATGGTTTTTTTATGACTTTCAAAAATGATCTAAATGATGTTTTGAAAAGAAACTATTAGCTTTAATATTTCGACGTAGCTGTAATATCGCTCTAAGTATGACAATGAGTTTGAGATTTGTATGAGAAAAATTGTGAAAAGCAGCAAAAAAAAAATTCTTCATAGCAAGAGCCATTTACAACCTAAAAACCGCTACAAAAAACCGCTCTGAATGGTTCTATGTTGCATGTTTAGTTTTCTAGATGATATTGTTAGTTTTACAGATTAATTTTTTATTAAAATTATTAAAATTTCTATGTAAATATAATGATATGATTAACATATTAAGTTGCTTAGCTCATTCGTTGATAATTGTAGATATAGGACTTTTAGTCATGAGATCTTTGTAATACTACTTCTTGAAATTGTGGCATATTGAATAAATATTTTGGAGACAGTGAACCAAACATATTAGTTTCGAAACAGAGTGAGCTATGGTCAATATAAAACACACACTGTTCAGATTTAAACACGTTTTCAATCTACTTTTAGATTGCGATAATATGAATAATTTTCTTAACGATACACGATAATAGTTTTACAAAAATCCCTAACAACTAAAATTCATAAAAATAACTCAGAACCACTGTAATCGTGTCATATTGGCATCAGCTGGCCTTCTCCGCTTCGAGCTATTGCCATTCCTGCACGTTGCTTTGTGTTGCAGCGCTCTTGSCATGACTGTTGTGGCACCAACACAAATACCAGCGATTGTTAATATAAATCCGTAAGCACATATTTTTATATACACTACATTACAAAAAAAAAATATATATATATATATACCTTCTCATAATAATGTATGAATATATACGCGTGTGATTGTGCGTCGCTGGAACAAAAGAAATGTCATTGTAAAAACAACAAACACGCCAAATTTGCCACTGAAAAGAGTAAAACCGAAAGCTGAGCAGCTCCAGCACTTAAAACAAAAAAGCGCATAAATCCCATAAAACGGTAAAACAGGGCAAATGTGCTATGCAAACAAAAGACTTAAGCCACAAACGCGACGCTGGCGTTGTGAATGTGAATGCATGCTTGCATATATACAGTTATAAAGCCATATATACAAAACAAATACACACACATATACATATACACTGTTATTTACATGTATATTAACCGCACGGCTTGTACAAGCGCGCTGTTGTGTGCGCACGTCTGTATGCAGCTCAAGGTCATGGATGAAAGTACAAGCAAATCAAATAGATTTATGGGTTTCGAGCGCGCACAAGTGTCGATTTCGAAGCATTGCCACAGTGGGCAACATAAATAGATGCAAAAGTTTAGTTTATTACATATCTATATTATTTACATATTTCCTTTCTGGTATATATTCATAAAAACTTGGGTAAAAATCAATTTAAATTTGTGGCTACGAATGTGTATGTATGTGCGCTGAAAWTCTCGCGTGTGTGCACGCTCGCCTACTAAGTATGTTAGTGGAGTAGTGTGTGATAGGAAGTGCSCGAGCGCATGATTGGCAGGCGTGTATGGCATGAAAAATGAAATGAAACACAAATTCGTGGTTAACAAAAACAATAACGCCCAATAAAAACACAATACATGCATACWTATATATTTGAGTTATGCAGTTTAAAGTTTTTCATGCGAGTTTTGTTATTTTCTTTCATAGTTAGCCACAAAAATTGCTTATCATAGCAATATTGTGGACTATACTTGCTGAAATGCGAAATATTGAGTATAAACATATATACCATATATATAATACAACTGCATATATGTAAATAGCGGGGTTAGAAGCGTTGAAAATATACGAAATTTATAGTTGTATGTGTGTGTGTGTGTTTGGAGCGAATTTCAACTAATAATATGTTAAGTTTCAATTGCTTTGGTCTTTTATCGCCTGGCTTTTAGACGCGCTAGTAGAAGTGGCGCCGAGTGGCGAGTGGAGCGCTGCGCTGGTGTTAGCCATTGTGTGTGCGGTATTAGTGCATGATAGCCAA